TAACAACAATTTATTGAGGTATAATTTACATACCATAAAGTTCTCTTGTTTTAAAAGTAGAATTCAATAATCTTTAGGAAATTTACATAGTTGTACAACCATCACCATAATCCAGTTTTAGAACATTTCTGTCACCCTAAGAACACCCCTCACAGCCATTTGCAGGTACTTTGTTTCAACCTCCAGCCCAGACAACCACTAATCTACTTTCTGGCTCTATAGATTTTGCTTTTTCTAGATATTTCATGTAAATGAAATTGTAAAATATGTGAGTTTTTTTTGGTGTGTGTATCTGTCTTTCACTGAATATGTTTTTGAAGTTCACGCACGTTGTAGCATGTATCTGTGTTTTGTTCCTTTATTACTGAATAGTATTCCATTGTGTGAATATGCCACATTCTGTTTACCCGATGGCACACAACAACAACAACAGTCTTGAGTGGACAGACCTTTGGGTTTTCAGTTTTTGACTATTATAAATAATGCTGCTATGAATATTCATCTGTATGTCTTTGTGTGGGCATATTTTTTTAATTCCTCTTGGGCGTATGCCTAGGAAGGAGCCCTGGTGGTACAACTAGGCTGCTAACCAAAAGGTTGGCGGTTCGAACCACCAAGTGGCTCCATGGGAGAAAGACCTGGTTATCTGATCCTGTAAAGATCACAGCCTAGAAAACCATATGGGGCAGTTCTACTCTGCCACATGTGGTTGCTATGAATTGAAATCAACTCGATGGCACCTAACAGCAACAGATTCCTCAGAGTGCAAATGCAGTAAATTTATGTTTAACTTTTTAAGAAACTGCTAAAGTCACAGATGCTGTACCATTTTACATTCCCACCAGCAATGTGTGAGGTTTCTGTTTCTCCGTATCTTTACCATCACTTGTTATTGTTATCTTTTTGATTATTGCCATTCTAGTGGTTGTGTAGTGGTATCTCATTTAATTTTCATTTGCATTTCCTTAATGACTAATGATGTTGAGCATCTTTTCATATACTACCTGGCTATTTGTGTATCTTCTTTGGTGAAATGTCTGTTCAAAATTTTTGCCTATTTTTAAATCGGGTTGTTTGTATTCTTGCTATTATTGGTTATTTTTAACGGTTCTCTGATTTTGAACAAGTGTGATATGGTCATGAGAAGAATAGATAGGAAATCTGACAAATGTCCACATTTCTGTACTTGTACTGCAATGTCTATGCAATTGAAAGAGGGGGTGGTATTTAAACCTTTTTTTTGTTTGTTTGTTACAGAACCAAAGAGGCACTGGTAACAAGTGGTGGAATTTGTAGAAATATGTAGAAGTTTAGGAATGTGTGGAGACCGCGGAACAACACCGAAAAGGCTGCATTTGCCAGCATCATGGTCATGTAGAGCAGGCACCCATGCTATTCTCTCCAGGAAGGCAGTTCTGGGAAGATACCAGCACACTTCCCCAACTGCGTTAACCCGTAGACACTGATTAGAAAATACTTGCTACTTCTACCATAGCTTGAAGAATGTTCCTCAATCTTATTTTGTTTGTAATTTAGTAATTCATAACGAGAATTGTTGAGAAACTTCAGAATTATTTATCACTATTAAATGATTGTGAAATGCTTTATTAATCTAATAAGCAGGCCATGTAAAATAGTGTGTTTTAGTTATGTTCAATTTGTTTCTAACACCAGGTTGTAGGTTGGAAACACTCTTGCTCTTCTTCCTTGGGTTGCTCCTCCTATAGTATTTTTCATTCTTGCTCCTTGTCTTCTGTTAGGTGTTCCTAAGCTATTTGTACACCATCTCCAAATCTCTGGAGGTGAGCTATGAAAACTTAATAAGCTGTCGAATTTCAAATCTGAGAGGATCATTAATAATGCTGTTTTTCAAGACTCAGATTTTTATAGATAGGCCAGTGTAACCTCTGGAGATTTTGATTCCTTAGGTATGAGATGGGGCTTGGGAATGTTTTTGTGAGTAGAGCTTCAGTGGGTAGGGATTCTTAGGATTAGGCATATTTGGGAAGCATTGGTGTGGTGGAAAGAGCGGGGCTTTTGATCAGACCAACCTGGGTTCTAGTCACAGCTCATTTAGTTGCCAGCTGTATGTTTTGGGGCACATTAAACCATCTTCTCAAATATTAGTTTTCTCTAATAATAGTATCTACCTCATAGAATTGTTGAGAGGCTCAAAAGAAATAACATATATAAACATAAATGGCATCTATTGTAATTACGTACCATTTATCAACAATAATCAGACAAATATTTGAGCACTATGGGCAAAGATGAAGAAGATTCATTCATTGTCCTCAAGAAATCTACCAGTTAGTAGGGGGGTGGGGATGAGCGTGTTACAATGCAAGGCAATAAGTTATCAAACAAGTTCAGAGCCATTTTTTCAAGAAAGAAAATGACATAGACAGACATTGCTACAGTAGGAGTATGGAGTTAGTGTGTAGGGTGGAATAAGGTGGGAACTAGGAACAATAAAGACCCAGTGTGTATATATATATAT